TTGCTAGGCATACTCTCAAATAAACAATTTTCTTTAGATAGCAAGGAAGATAATAGAAGACAAAGACTTATGCAAAGAAGACCGACAAAGATTTATGCAAAGAATGTAAATAGGGTCAAATGACCTGACCTCAAGACAGACCATAAATTTTTTTCAAGAAATAAACAACAAGAAAGAAGTGAATATTAAAAAATGCATTGTACGTATGATATAAGAAAAGTCGTGAAGTTAAATGGCAACAACATCGTATGCAGGATATTCTAAGCAAAATTTTGAAAAGGGTCATTTGACCCCGTTGGTAGGTTTAATGTTAACGAAGATTGTTCCAGAAATAATAGAAATTTCAAAAAATTTACGAGTGAAATTCCGCTCTGGAGCGTAAACGTTCCAGGTAATCCCTACGAAGGGCTGAGAATATTCTTCAAAATTTGACACAGAAACTTCAAACTGGTAGAAGAAACCAGTATTGAATAGAATTACATTCCATATATCAACTGCAAAGACGAAAGACTGGTAATTTCACTGAAAATTACGATCGGTAGAAATTACAGCTTCTTCGAGTCTCTCTGCCGAGCGTAATCTCTTTTCGAGATTGTAAGGGTTGGAAGCGAGATAATAACCAGGATTCGTTGGGAACGGCGTGAATAAAATTTCAAAATAACACGAGGGTCCGGGGCCTTGCAATTAGACAAGAATGGCCGACGCGGTCCCGAGGGATAAAAGGACGAATAAAAGAACAAAGGCCCCGTCCGGATTGATTTGTAGCTGGGCATACACAGACCCGTAATAGTTAACGGTCACGTTCACCACCGTTACGAATCGTACGAAAGGAAGGTTAATCGATCTCTGCTGAACCACGGATAAAACCGTAAAATCAAACGATGAAAAAGCTTCTATTTTCATTTCGTTTCGCGTGTTTGTCCAATGTGCTTTACCAGAAGCAGATCATTACCGATCTCATATTATTTTCAAACTCATCGTTAATTCATTGTTCTTCATCGAGGTAATTAGGCACCTATCTCTCGAAAAGCGTCAACCGGTCGAATACTTACGGACTTATTGGACAGAAACGCTCGTCGATCGGTACACGTGTGCAGCTTGCATTCCGGCCGTGGAAACGCAACACAATCGATTTTCACATCCCCCCGGTGAACAGAGAGAATGTAATCTATACGCACCTATACGAGCGTGCGCTAGTTTTTTGTACATACACAGGGTGTTTTTCTATGATCGTGGTATAAACCAGAGGGTAGAAAAATGTTCTTTTCGTTTCATTTGAGCATCCGTTTTCGAGAAAATCGAGCTTGAAACTTCGCCGACTGTTCTTGAATTCGATCAATCCTTAATTGAATTTCTAATTGTAAACATGTAATTGGAACTCAGTAGAAACATGATAAGGCAATGAATGATTACAAAAACCTTCAAATAATAGAATTATTAATTTAAAATTATACGAGATGCATTTAAGGATTAATCCCGAACTGAATGGGAGAATAACAGATAAACTCGAACTACACGTTGAACTAAAATTGAAAGTCCACTTGATCAATCTTCAAACTCGATTTCATGGAAAAATGCTACCCTTTCCCCTCGACGATTGTATCACAGTCATTTTGTACATAGATGTGCGATGAACGTTTGTGAAATCGGCGATACGATCGATCAATGGATGCCGTACGAGCACGATTGCGAGTCGTGAGCGTGAACGCGAATGCTCGAGTTGCCAGCTCGCGATATTTTTTTTTTCTTTTTTTTTCTTTTTTTCCCTCTATCTATCATTTTTACCACGCGGAAGCGGTAGCGCTCGCCGACCGAAAAAAATATGCTCGAACAGATGATTCTTGTTACGACTTTTTTTTCTTTTTTTTTTTTTACCCCTCTCCGCTCGTTTTTTCTGACCCGTGTTCCCTCTGGCTGTCCATGTCCGCCTTTTGCTGTGCTCGCGCCATCGTGCCACCCTTCCCGCTACAATGTGGTTCGTTTAATTTGCACGGCTGACTATTTGCAGCTCGTTGCCAACGTTTGTTCACGGACGTGCTTTGCTCGGGAAGAGAATTCTTTCGTTGCACGGTTTGCGCACGAACGACTGAAAACTGCTCTTTCCTCCTTTCTTTCTTCGCCTCTCTTCTTCCGTTTCGCTGTATTTTGTGGAAACGTTCGTGCTTCAAATTTGAAAACAGGTTTCCTTCGAAGCGAAAACAATTGCTCGCGAGAAGAATTTTCGGCGATTTCGAAATTCTTCGAAATACTTTTTCTTTCATCATTCTACTCTTTCAGGTCCTGTGATTTTCAATTTAAATTGCCACCATTTGAAGGTACAAAAAAAAAAAAAAATTATTATTAAATCTACTTGATATTCTGAATCGTCAGAAATCCTCTTTCGAAAATTTCATCCAAATCGGAGCATGCACGCTTTTGAGAATTTCGTCGTACTCTTTATGCAGGAGTACTTATCTATGAAGACTGACAATGAGTCCCGCTTTTTGTCTCAAGTTTGCTAGAAGTCGGTACACACTCGAGCCCAAGTTTCCCTGGTACGCGTCGGAACAAGATCAGGAGGTTTGCTTAATTAGCTGAGAAAGCTTAAATCGTTGCATCCCCGTAGAGAGAGAGAGAGAGAGAGGAGCTTGTTAACGAGCAGCTAATAAGCTCGTTGAGCGAGTAGTAGACGTCTTTCTCTCGATCGCAGCCGGTTCTGCCATCGTCGTTGAATACGTGCTCTGCGTATTTCACGGACGTCATTCGGATATTATCTTTCCCTTCTGGTTCTTCTTGCTCGGCGCGGATCGTTGACGCGGCAGATACCCGCTCCCGGCAATCGGCAAATTGTGCGGAATTACTCTAGGGACGTGCGTCTACCTTGAAAACACGACGAAGGGATGGTTGG